AAACTGAAAAATGTGGCTAATGCTTGTTCTGTGATGCTTGGTCTACACTTTAAACTTGGCTTACCCACAAGACCCGTACGCTTTTGAAGTATTTCAAAAGATTTTATGGCACTAGATGCACACAAGCTTTCAAAGGTCCAGGTCCTGAAAAATAAACTCCTTTCGCAAACGCTGTAACTTGATGCCAGAACCGAGAGCCAGGAAGGCATAATGTTTTCTCCATAATGTTGCACTGATGTTTGGCTGTTGCAGTATATACATTTATGTACATAATACTGTTTTTTTTTTCTTATGCAATTAAAAGGAGGCAAAAGAAGACTGCTATTATTTTTCAACACTTGTACGTGAATATTTTATAAAAATCTTTAATTTAAAGACAGAATGCTTTTATTTATTTTATTTTCTTGTAATAAGGAATTTTTCACATTTTGAAAAGTAAAGTTAGTCTTTTGAGATTACAGATTTTGTATAAGTTATTCGTTTTGGAAAAAAGTGTAAAGTAGATGCCTTTGAGTTTGACCTTTTGAGATCACAGATTTTGTACAAGTTATTCCTGTTGGAATTTTTTTGTTGTTGAAAGTTTTCAGAATTGTTATTGAATGGATTCAATAAAACAAACTGCAACAGAATGAAAATGGATTATTTATTTTGGATGAATTAAAAAAAGATAATTTTAGGATAATTGTAGTTAATTAAGTTTATTGTTTAAAACAAAACCAAGATTGTGAAGTTGAACTAAATAACATTACATAACATTTAACTAAATAAATAATGTTACTTAAATCCAACATAACCCAGTTATGTGCATTCTGTTGACATAAAAAAGTTAAGTTAGTCCAACATCATTTTTTTGAGTGGACACTAGTGAAAGCAGCACTTGATCAAATTACCATTGTCATGGGTTTGACTTTATATCCACTGTAATGCAAACGTGATTGCCTTCATTTTTGCTGCATACACCACTAAAGGATCAGTTAATCTTTTAAACAACTTCATTTTTAATTCTGGAATGTATAAAGCACCGCTTGATTTTCCGTTCTCTGGATTTTTAGACCCATCCGTGAATAAATATACGTAATGCCCATGTCTCTCACGCAGCACTATAGTGTTCACATAAGCTTGCATATCAAATTATTTTACTAAAACTAACCAGTTTCAGTAGAGAAAGATCAACTCTAGCTGAGGTAATAACCATGGTGGGAACAGCTGGCATTAAAATAGTTAGACTGACCCAATCGTTGACTCCTAACTCCTTTGTTACAGTATAGCCATAATTACATTCCTAAATACTTCACTCTTTCTAACATTTGATTGTACAATTTCAAACAAACATCTTCTTTGATTTTCTTTCTTGTAAAAAAGATGGATTGAGATTTCTCGACAGATCATTTAAATCCCCAATTCAAAGACCAATCTTCAACCACATTAACAGCTTACAACAAAGTCCATATTCCACCCTTGTTTCCAAATTGCCCCATCATCAGCAAAAAGTGATTTCCCAATGTCAGCATTAACATTATAATACACATTATTATTTATCATGATCATTGAAAACAGTATTGGACTTATGACGCTCCCCTGAGGGGTGCCATTTTCAACTAAAAATGCATCTGATATAGAGTTCCCTATATGAAACTGAATGTATCTACCAAATTATACATTTTACCACCAATATCCATTTTATCTAGCTTTATTAACAAACCTTCCTTAAATCATATCATGCGCTTTTTCAACCTAAAAGAAAACAGCTACTCCTGCCTCTTTATTTGCCTGAGCTTTCCTAATATCTTTTTCCAAGCATTTTAAAGGGTCCAGAGTACTACACCCCTTCTAAATCCACTCTGAAATGGTGAAAACAGCTCATTTGACAAGATACAGTCTTCTTCTTGCTATTTTACGGCTGTTGGCATCCAACTTATTGGTGCATTTCCACCACCTTCTGCGTGGAACAGAAAATAGGTTTACAGACCAAATCCCCCTCCCCCACTCACACACACAGGAGAGAGAAAGAGAGAGACCCACGATGACTTAAGGCCAATTTATACTTTTGCGTAGGGTGCGCGCAGTAGGTACGGCGTAGCATACGTACAGACGCGTCCCATACCGCATACCCTTCGCCGTCGCCTGGCGCGCACCTCTTCAAAAATGTAACTACACGTCGCGACGACACAGACCGCAAGATCGGTGATTGGTCGGCTTGGTATTTCCTCCTATGCATTTCCGCACGTACCTTCTCACGCATTTCCACCACTATCTATGATTTCCACACGTCCCATCTCCTCCGACGTCTTCTCTCATTTCTGCCTTTCAGTTTTAGTAATTTCACTGAAGTGAACTGTTTTTCCACCTCAATAAGCTCCAACTCCAACATTATCAGCTGTCTTTCAGTCGTTATAGCTTGTAGTAACCTAGCCGTGAGGAATCTAAACACAGTGGAACATTAAAACCCTCCGCCGCCAACTAGCGTTTCGGAGCAGTACTGCAGAGCAACCAAGACCTGAACGCAGAAGTATAAATGCTCACAACGGCGTCACCTACGTGCGTAGCCAACGCCGTACATTACGGCGTACCCTCGACGCAGAAGTATAAATTGGCCTTAACTGTACGTTCACACCGCCACCGGCGAGAGCGTCAAAGTGGCCGGAAGTCATTCATTTTCATTGAGAGCCGGCGGCGAGCTCCGGCGAGAGCGGCGCGTTTCGGACGGCGAGAGCAGCGAGCAGAGTTGAAATCAGTTTAACTTTATGGTAATAAGCAATGACGCGGTTCGGCGGCAACCATAGACTGTAAAAAAAGATGGACGACGCCCCTTCGCTCTTTTCCATCAGAGTGAACTGAAGCCGCCAGTGTCTCGATATGACGCTGACATCATGGACTTGAGTCTGCGCACTTGCGTGTTTCGGGACCAGTCATGCGCAGTCGTGAGCAGGAATTAAAGCCGCGAAATCAAGGCCGCGCCCTCATTCTCGCTGAATCAAACGCAAGCACACACCCCTCACTTTCATTAAGTGTCTTCTGTCTGCTTCGTTCTTCTCCAATGATGTCTGCTGATTGCAGAACCTCGTTAAAATAAGGTAAACAACTACTAACCACATAATCAACATTATGAAAAAAGTCCACTGGTGCTTCAGTGACTACCTCGCACAGAGAACCTGTCAATCACAGCCGTCAATCATGATGTCAGAGCACCGTTATTTGATCATCACATAACTAACTAAAAACAAACTTATTTTAAAAACGAACACTTGACATTACATCAACGTGATAGAAACTACAGTAAATGACAGAAACTATCTTTGGAAAAAGGATATGTGAAGTGTAATTTAATTGTTTAGTTGGTCTCGCGTCCCATTGAATAACATGGGGAGGCGGGGGTTATGAGCTATACTAGGACCGGTCACAGGGGGGCGATCGAGACGTTTTGGCTTCACTTTTGAGGGCTTGTGCGGCACGCTTGGCGGCAACCAATCGGAATGTAGAAGTGCTCCGTTTAAAAGAGAATCCCAGAGAACGTAGTCCTGTAAACTTTGGTTCCGGCCACATTAGTTCCCAAGCAAAATAGAGGAGGTTGATAATTTGAATTTGATAAGAGGGCGCGCAACACTATTTATAGGCAAGATTTTCATGCTAGAACACTTTTTTTAGCGAGAATGCAAATTATAATAGCACTTAACCATGAACACACTAGCCACACCACACACATATGGCTTTTAATTTGTTTATTTCGTTAGCAAACATGTCACTATAATTTTAAAGTTATTTCCATCGATCAATTTTCTGCAAAAATAACGACTGACATGCTTGTTTGCTTTGTGGCCCCTATATACCGTTTTTTCCCCCCACACATTCGATCTACGTCAGAGCATCAAAGCATCCACGAATCTTTCCACAGCGTCGTTAACAGAGCGGCAAGAGCGAATTTTGCCGCTCTCGCCAGCGGCGGTGTGAACGTACGGTAACAGGGGACTCATAGAGTCTGCAAAGGACCTGTGTGTGTGTGTGTGTGTATGTGTGTTAACAGTGAAGTGAACAGTGAACAGAGAGAGAGAGAGAGACAGTGGAGTCTGTCTCAATTGTTTAACACTAGAACGGCCTCAACGGTCATTTTGACCGTTTTGATTTTTATATCTACAATAACTTTGTTGAAAAAAATAAAATAAAATCCTGCTAGTACCTGACTTTTCCTAAAATTGTCTGTATTTTCATTTAAAATGCTTTTCATATAAATGAAGTTGCGTTAACGTAAGGCAAAACAAAAAAATGAACATATTTACCTATTTCGGCCATAGACGGTCATATTATCCGCACTGAATTTCGCGATATTTTTTTGTTTAATATCCCGCGGTTGATCGTGGTCTCTCTCAACTGTCAACAGAAAGCTCCGCCTGGTCACCTCTGTAGCGGTGTTTGCTATATAATAATTTCTACATTGTTGATCAGAAATAAGCAAATAAAACCGGACTACAGTTATCTATAATACTTACGTTATCTATTGGCTATAGGCAAGTAAGTTAACATTTCCTCATCATCAGAGAGTGATTCAGAGTCAGAGTCCACATCAAGGAAAAAGAGACGGCTGCTATCATCAGACACGGCGGATCCAGATGTTCCATTCATGTCGGATGATCCTGGTGAGCTCTGCTGCCCTGTCCTGCGCTGTTTGTTTTGCTGCATAGCCTATTGACCGCTTCGCAAATCGTCACCATCTAACATTTTCGTCATTCAAACCTAGTTTTTATTTAGTTATCGTCTCGTTTTCATCTTTGAAAAGATGTGGTTGACGAAAATAATTACATCAACGAAATAAACACTGTTTTGAATCTAACGGTCAAAATGACCGTTTGTGGCCGTTCTAGTAGTTTTGGAATTCTGGCACTTCTAGTGTTAACATATAACATACAGTATGTAGGTGTGTGTGTGTGTGTGTATAGACTTCAAATATGATAGGTAGGACTCAAATATGTATTTTATTTTTTTTTAAACATGCCAAGATAAGACCTGCGAGTGATGTCTAGTCTACCTTTACCTAATTTGGTTAAGTCCACTGGAAACTTCAGAGTCCATGGGCAACAACAGAGAACAACTTGCCTGAACTTTTCATTCCACTGGCATATTCTCTTTCACTCGTAATTTGCAACGTTTGTGATGTCTCCAGAGAGCCGTTTTAACATACATAGCAAAGCAAAACATGCAAGGAAAATAGTCCATTGCTGTTGACTCACAAGTTGCTTGTCTTTTTGGTATGATCTCTCCTTTCCCAGAGGATAGGACTGAACTGTTATGGTGGAAGTTTCCCAGGTTCCTTACTTTGGATAATAAAAGAGTACGCATGGTTGAGCCTCGGATGTGTCCCAGTGCCTTGGCAACTTCAACTTTTTCAGAATGTTTCTGCTTTAGATGTCTTGCAATTTTTAGATAAGGCTTCTCACAGTAAAGACAGTAGTTCTTCTTGTCATAGATGCGTTGATGTACACTGTTTGAGGACATTTTCACTGTGATATTATGTTGTTGATAGCTACAGTCATTGGCACTTTCATCAATTTCCATCCAAGTCTTCTTAAGTGGTTTTCTTCGGATACCTTCTGCTACTTGTCCTTCAGCTTTTTTTATTTCTTCTTCTTCTTCTTCTTCTTCTTCTGACATTTCCAGGGTAAGGGAACCCTGTTGTTCAGTGTTGTTTTGAAATACAGAAAGACACAACTGAAATGTATTTGCAAATAATAACAATGTTATAAATTAGTAATTAACGTATATTACTAGTCTATGCATGATTCATGTAATAAAACCCCTAATTACCATTTCAGACTCATATAATTCCTCCTCAGTGTGAGAAGATGAATCCATCACGTCACAGCAAACACTTTCAGGCTTATCATTGTCAGTACTCTCTAGGATGTCCATCTCATCTGATGTTTGGGGACAGCAATCAGCTGTATGGGTTCTGTCCTGTAAAACAATAACAGTGTAACAATGTAACAAATTTCTCTGATTTAAGGTCTGTTTTTTTCTATCTAGAGCCTGCTATTTATCTCATGAAATTGAATCTTAGGGGGCTTTCACACTTGGTTCGATTGCCTGTTCTGAACCCGAGTTCAATTGCTCCCCCCTCCCCCTGATGGACTGTGTTCACATTATATATTTGTATCCGAACTGCGGTCCGCTTGCGTCATCAAGCTGCAGCTGGCGCATAAGCATGTTGCTTAGCAACCGCTATGAATGAAAAGGCTTTGGTTTTGTTTTGAAAGAAAAGATATAGAAACACACTTGAGTCTGTCTGTCGCAAAATGCATACGACCACATTATACGTCATCAATAGCGGTTCACTTCCTCGGTTTGGTTTAAACGCGTTCATATCAGCAGCGAACCGTACTGGAATTCACATGAACAGTACCCCAGACCACCTTTTTAAAGGGGTGATGAACTGAGAAATCAAATTTTCCTCGAGCTTTTGACATCTAAGAGGTCATCATATTATAAGAATATCCTGTAAGTTTCAGAACTGAAAAAGTCCTTGTTAGTCCAATATAAGCTTTTATTGACACCAGCCCCTGCAAACGACTCGTTTTTAAAAGTGGGGAACTATGACGTCAAAGAGGATAAAACACCGCCCCCGCAGAAGAAGATCAAGATCAATTGTCTCTCGCCATTGACTACCACACATATTTTTTCCGAAATAAGGTCCCATGATCCGGAAGCAGAGGGGCGGGACTTAGGCTCTCTATTTCATTGAGGATTGTTTTGTAAACAAGACTGGATTTGCAGACCGATTAGGAGTAAAGAACGGTGGTGTGCCGTCTATATTGGATCTGACAGGAATTGTGCAACACACGGACTCTGGGTCGAACATGTATGGGCGAATCATTCCGGTTGTCATTTTACAACATGGCACGTTTTCAAAACAATTTTCCCCACATACACCGACGAGGTGAATTGAAAAACTCATTATAATATGCAAAACTGTTATCCACTCACAGCAGTGGGCGTTTACTTCCAAGTCTTCAGTGCGAAACGCCCATTAAAAACGAGCGTTTCTGATCTGGTCTCAAAACTAGGGTAGAAAATAGCTTATTGGTTATTCATTTTGATGTTTTTGAATGCAAAAACCAAGCGAACGTCATAAGTTCACCTCAGAAAACAATTTAATAAAATTTAAAAAGCTAGTTCATGACCCCTTTAAGTGGACCCAAGTATGGTTCACGGGTGCGCACCCAAGTTCGGAAGACAGCAATCACGTCATCCAAACGAACCGAACTTTGACGTCATTCAAACCCGGGTGCGCACCAAAAGTGCTAGTGTGAAAGCCCCCTCAGAATCATTGTTGTCTTTTTAGTCTTCAACCGTTTTTACTTGAAATACTTACTTCATTTTCATTCACATTGCTGTTGTTGTTTGTGGTTCCAGACTGGTGTATGAAACCTGTAAATACACAACAATTGTCATGTATATCCAGTCAATTAAGGATGTTTTTTTTACTACATTCTTGTAAAATCTACAATGTTTTATTAATAAGGTGAAGAGAAGAGTGGAAGTCTTGGAACATACATGTGAAAGACTGAAGGCATTCCTCAATGGTGGGACGTTCTTCAATCGATTTAGACAGCATTCTGCTAATAATATCTTTTTGTCTTGTCCATCTTTCTTCACATTGAAGAGTGAAGTTACCCATTCTGACATTTAAAGATAGCCCAACTGGATCCTTTGAGTAGGGTGTAGTTGTCTGATAGGGGTGTTGCCCATCCGTCAGGATGTAATGCACCAAGCACCCTGCGACCTACGAAATAAAAGATTATTTCATAAAATTATTTCAGTAATGGTCACAACTAAAGTGTACAGAACGAATAAAGATGATTGAAATAATATTAGCTGAAAGATGATCTGATTATTAATTAGCATTCAGGACAATTGAACATAGAACAAGTGTAGGCATTTTGGCAGAACTGATGTCTATATATTTTCTTTTTAAAAATCATAGTGGTCACACTAAAATAGTATTATAACTGCCTACATGTAAACTTTTAATCTACACCGCCCCGACCTTACATCTGCAACTGAAAATAAGCAATACACAGTGGGGGTCTTCATCGACTTGAGCAAAGCATTCGATACCATATGTCTGACTTATCAATGGCTCAAAAGTTATCTCGATAATCGACAGCAGTTTGTTCAAAGTAATGGTCAAAAATCTGAGTTAAAACACATAATATGTGGAGCTCCACAAGGGTCCGTTTTGGGTCCATTACTTTTTATTTTGTACTTTTAAAGATATTACAATGTTTGCCGACGATACTAACATTTTTCACTCTGGAAATAATCTATCAGAAATTACAGAAAATATAAGTTCAGAAATGGTAAAAATTAAGAAATGGTTTGACAAAAAAACAATTATATTTAAATTGGGAGAAAACAAAATACATGATTTTTGGTAATCGTAAAAATAGCAATTGAAGGAACTGATATTGAAAGAGTTCATGCGATAAAATGTTTAGGCTAGGTGTTGTTTTGGATGATAAGTTGAATTGGAAAGATCACATAGTTTATATTAAGAGTCAAGTTTGTAAAAGCATTGGGGTCTTGTATAAAGTTTAAGATGTTTTGGACTACTCTTCAGTGCATATGCTGTACAATTCCCTAATACTTCCAGATTTTGGATACTGCACAGAGGTCTGGGGTAATACATACCCTAGTAACACAAAACCTATATTTTTGTAACAAAAAAAAGCATTAAGGATTATCAGGCTACAAGATTAAGATTAATTTACATCATCAGGCAAGACAGGCTATGGAGAACACACCAATAGTTTATTTGTAAGTTCTAGACTCCTAAAAAAAAAAAAAAAAAAAAAAAAAAAAAAAAAAAAAAAAAAAAATCAAAGGTTTGTTTGATTTGAAGATTTTGATTGTTGAGTGGAAAGCAAAGCAGAGAGTTCGGACTAGGGTGTAACAAAATGTATTCACTCTCATATCAGAGGAAGATGGCCAAAGGCGGCAATATTATTTTACAACTTTTTTTGCACGTAGGCTACTACGTGCAAAAAGATTTTACACGTTAGTAGTAATGATTTTATGAATTACTTCAATGCGAAAATAGAAAGCATCCGAAACAAAATTATAAATGTACAATCCGCTGTGGTGTCTTATGATTCAGCTTCAATTATGGACCCTCTAGAACAACTAAACCGCTTTACATTTTCATTTTCATTGCATCTAAACCAACAACATGTTTATTAGATCCAATACCCACTAAACTACTGAAAGAACTATTACCTGTAGTGGAAGAGCCTCTCCTCAATATTATTAACTCGTCTTTATCTTTAGGTCATGTCCCAAAAATATACAAGCTGGCTGTAATAAAACCGCTCATTAAGAAACCGCAATTAGATCCAAATAACTTGGCAAATTACAGACCCATTTCAAATCTTCCATTTATGTCCAAAATACTTGAAAAAGTAGTGTCCGCTCAATTGTGCTCTTTCTTGCAAGAAAATGATATCTATGAAAAATTCCAGTCAGGATTCAGACCGCATCATAGTACAGAAACTGCGCTAGTTAAAATTACAAATGATTTACTTTTAGCTTCTGACCAAGGCTGTATCTCAATACTAGTCCTACTTGATCTTAGCGCTGCGTTCGACACTATAGATCATATAATACTCTTGGATCGACTACAAAACTGCACTGGTGTCCAGGGACAGGCATTAAGCTGGTTTAGATCGTACTTATCGGACCGTTCTCATTTTGTCTGTTTAAATGGGAAAAAATCAAAGATAACGTCAGTAGACTATGGAGTACCGCAAGGATCGGTTTTAGGCCCTCTGCTATTCTCAATATATATGCTGCCACTTGGTAATATTATAAGAAAACATGGAATTAATTTCCACTGTTACGCTGACGACACTCAATTATATATTTCATCACGACCAGATGAAAACACTAACTCATCTAAAATGACAGAGTGTCTCAAAGATATAAAATGCTGGATGACGCGTAATTTCCTGCTATTAAATTCAGATAAAACGGAGGTATTACTTATTGGTCCAAAAAACTACTCACAAAACCTCTCACAATACAACTTTAATATAGACGGATGTCCTGTTACTTTATCCACAACAGTAAAAGACCTGGGTGTTATACTAGACCGCAACTTGTCGTTCGAAGATCATATTTCATATGTTACAAGAACAGCCTTTTTCCACCTTAGAAACATTGCTAAGCTACGTAACATGCTATCTATTTCTGATGCAGAAAAATTAGTTCACGCATTCATGACCTCGAGACTAGATTACTGTAATGCTTTATTAGCCGGTTGTCCTGCATCCTCAATAAACAAGCTACAGTTAGTACAAAATGCAGCTGCTAGAGTTCTTACTAGGTCAAGAAAATATGATCATATAACACCGATTTTATCATCTCTACACTGGTTACCTATTAAGTTTCGCATCAACTACAAAATACTACTACTGACCTATAAAGCCCTAAATGGTTTAGCACCTATGTACTTAACGGACCTTCTTTCGCCCTACAATCCACCGCGTTCCTTAAGATCACTAAATTCAAGGCTTCTGGTCATTCCTAGGATATCGAAGTCCAGTAAAGGAGGGAGGGCGTTCTCGCATTTAGCTCCAAAACTCTGGAATGGCCTTCCCGATACGGTCCGAGCCTCTGACTCGCTGACACAGTTTAAAACTAGATTAAAGACGCATCTCTTTAGTCAAGCATTCACATAATGCTTACCTTCTAGTCCTCTGTTATGCCATACGGAACCGTTTGCCACTGAAACTGCTTAACACACCAGTGGGGCTCGACAGCCTCTTAGACAAACGGGTCGGCGCGTATGGTTGGGTTGCGGAGAGTTCGGGTTACGGAGAGTTTGTGAGTTATAACGGAAATTATTATGAACATCAGCTATGCTAATTATTTCCCATCTGCCTTTCTGCTGTTATCTCGGGACGCTTGTCCCGAGAAAAATGGCGTTCGTCAGGTCCAGTTTTGTGTCCAGCCTCTCACGGGGATTTCGGATGCCCCAACGCCTGTGATGAGACGACTCAACGCCTGTGATGAGACGACTCAACGCCTGCGATATGTTATGGCGCCGTTTGATTCATAAACAATATTTATATTTAATATTTATATTTAAACAATATGAATGTAAGCCAGAGGAGAACTGGCCCCCGACTGAGCCTGGGTTCTCCCAAGGTTTTTTCTCCATCCAATCTGATGGAGTTTGGTTCCTTGCCACTGTTGCCTTGCTTTTGGCTTGCTTTGAGCTTGCTCAGTTGGGGTTATTTAGTGTTTAGCAATGTTGTTGATCTGTGTTGTGCTACTTACATGTTATCACTGTGAAGCTGCTTTGATACAATCTGTATTGTGAAAAGCGCTATATAAATAAATGTGACTTGACTTGACTTGACTACTACAAAAACAGAAGAATTTGTATAAGAAAAAAATACAGGAATGTTACAAAGAAAATTATGTTAATGGTGATAATTAAGTGTAAAGACAGGTATTACTGAAAATATTTGGTGATTAGAGTGAGGATTGATCCATTAATAAAGCAGCTATTTTTCTGTTTGTTTGTTTTTATGTGCAAAAATAGCGACAGATATTACAAGATTATTTCTTCTTCCTGTTCCTTTTTTTCCGTTCATGGAAACAAAACAAAAATGTTGTATGTTCTACTTGCTTTATGTTAATTTACAGTGACAGCTGGATGTTCATGTAAGCAGTGTTGGTTAGTAGGGCTGGGTATTGAGACAATTTCACAATTCGATTCGATTTCGATTCACAAGCTAGCAATTCGATTCGATTTCGATTACGGTTCGATTCGATTCAATATCGATTATTTTGGATATAAGTTACAATAAATGGCAATTTTTCTCAAGGGAATCAAATCTCTTAAATGCTGTAAACTATGGTCTATATGTATATAGTCTAGTTGTAGCCTACTAGGCTTCATTAGCCTAATATGAAGGTAATAATTAACTATTTTGTAGCTATACAAACACTTAAATTACACTTTTATTTATTTTTATAATAAGAAGATTATATGAAATATAAACATTTAAATGGTGGCTGTCATAAAAACTTGCCAGATTTATTCAAATATGCATTAAATATTGAAGAACACTAACGAGTGTGGACTAACGAGTTTATGTGGAGTTTTCTGAGGTAAATATGACGATACATGACATTGATTACAAGCTGTTTAATTGACGTCCTTCCACGGTTGAAAAGCAGATTGAGCGAATCAATGTGACATGATAGGGATTTAGATAAGTTGTACTCTATCTTTTAACACACTTTCAGATGCTCATTCATGTTTATTTGGCGCTGTGACTGGTATTATTAACCCGGAAGAGAGATCAGCGCTGCTGCTTCTCTTGAGCTGTGCCAGAGCGATCTCACGCCACCGCGCCAAAACACAATTTATGTTTTTGAATTTCTAAAGAAAATGGACGTAATTTGAAAATTGAGACTTTGTTTCATATCAATAGTAACAAAGGACAAAGATTATTGCGATTTGTTGGATGCGCACATCCACGATACAATGTCTCATTCATACAAATGAAACAGGATGACTAATCGATTCTTGAGATTTAAGAATCGATATCGGTTTGTAAAAATGAGAATCGATTAATATCAAGAAATCGATATTTATTACCCAGCCCTATTGGTTAGTATCTGATTACATGTTATCTGGATTACATATTTGGCTCTGCCTACTACTTTCTAAAAAGCTTATATGTTCAGAAGCTCTTCAGTTTTGTGGAACTGCACAACTGACTATCACTGAAAACTGATACAGCAATTGATCACTGGATTTACAGAAATTGTTTAATTTCACAGTGTTTTCTCAACATTGCAACACTGCATATCGAATCATCTCCTGATGAACATATTCATTATTTGAATCGTCACTCATTTAACCTCATATTACCGTCTTTTGAAAGTCTTTCAAACTAAATAAAATGTCATTTTTTTGTTTTTATGAATTAATCTTTTTAAAGAGTTTTATTAACCCTTGTGCTGCATTAGATTTTTAACACCGTTGAGTGCATTAAGGACCAAAAATGGCCACATATTAAACATTGCCTAAAATATTATATATTATTATTATTTTCCACTTTTACCAAGTTAAATCTTTTAACCAGCATCAGTCCTCATCATAACTACCAAAAATGTATTCAATTTCAGGATTTTAACCCTTTAATTACCAGTTTTGTTTGCGAAACCATCGATTTGTATAAGAGGAAAAAACACAAAAATTCAATTATTTTCAATAAACTAAATGCAAAGAGAAAACTTTAGATTTGGATTATCACAGTCCCACTTTGCAAAAAATCCCACTTAGCGCGTTAGAGACCAAAAATGGCCACCTATTAAACATTGCCTATTGCCTAAAATAAGGTGCATTTCCACCCATAGGGAATAAATATGTAGTGACGTCATCTGGTGGAATACACTATATAATGCAAATATAATGCTTTTGCTTCAAAATGAAAGGATGTTTGTGCAAAAATCATGTTTCATGTATTACTGACAGCCTCAGATTTAAACAACGTTTTAATGTGGGTTTCAATGGGCCATTTTTGGTCTTTATGGTGCTGAGTGTTACTATTTGATCTACACAGTGTGTGTTATACATATTTTGCAAAATGGGATCACATTTTTTACATGTATCCAAAAAGTCACAATTTTGCCAAATTTCATACCATTTGCATTAAAACAGCCAAAATGGTCAAAGAAATTAAACTGCAAAAGACCAAAAATGTCCCTAATGCAGCATAAGGGTTAAACTCACAAACTCCTGCAATTCCATCACAAACCCCAGTCTGAGAAGACCTAATGCAATAGTTAACACACTTCACATTGTTGAAAACAATTTATATATATATATATATTTCTTTTTTCTTTCTCATTGTATTATTATCAATATGGTCCAAGATTATCCTATTGAAATCAATGCGGTAAATTAGTTATAAATTAGGTAAAATCAAAAGTAATCAAAACGTAGTCCAATTACATTACCTAAAATGATTTAGATTACAGGATTGTACATTGTTTGTAAATAACTTAATGAATTAAGTTGTAAATTATTGTAACAAAATTAATTAAATTGTAAATTATTTAGATTATATCACTGACTCCAATTTGTGTCATGTAATTTGGAATCAGTAACGGAGTAGGCCTACAGTATTATCATTATCTACCCAGCACTGTAAATAAGGAATTTCATGGAACATCATAATTGCATTTGTTTCAGTTTTGGACTTTCTACATGAGGTCAGAATTACTCTTTTAATGAATGCAAAAAACAATACATGTGAGTGTTTAGTGCACTATACCAGTGGTCTTCAAACTTTTGTGAGGTTTCCTTTCTGTCAACTTGTTTTTGGAGCAAAATTAACTAAACTCAGCATATTTGTGCACAGTTTTTTTCTTTCATTTAATTAACTTGTTAATAATTTAAATCAAATATATTTCACATTTTTATTTTATATAAGCCTATAGACAATTTTTTTAGACTATCACTATTTTTTTTTCGGGTTACACTGATTAATTTAGGACAAAACAGAAATAAATAATAGTCCTCTCTAAAATATGAATTAAATATGAGAATCCATCAATATTTCGCCAAATATGCTCATTTTTGAACTGAAAGCTCAGAGGAATTTTGGTGGTCCCTAAGTAACTCTGCAGCTACATGTCAACCAACTGTAATAACAGTAGACTGTCTGCCTAATATCGGCTAACACTTTATTGTGATGAACCCCAAAAGCCATTATGCTGACTATATGCAAATACATGCAATTAATTAAAGAACACTTCAATATGCCGGCATCCTCCCACAAATGAACAGGTTTTAACGAGATATTTCTATCCATACCTGGATATCTGATTCTTTCTTGTATTTGTATTGCATGCCTCCAACATCTTCATAACTTGACCAAGGCATTTGAGCGAGAAGTGTGGTTAGTGCCAGATTCAGTTTTCTGCTTGCTCCAAAGTCTGCGATGTACAGTTTGTTGTTGATATCTGTAGAAAAGTAAAAATGCTTTAACACTTAAACACTTAAAGGGATAGTTCACCCAAAAATGAAAATTCTGTCAGTATTTACTCACCCTCATGTTGGTCAAGCGCAGTCTCATCCCAAGACGTCATATAACTGACGTCTGGGGAGGTCTTTTGACCATACGTCAACATCCGCCGTTTTAGGTTACTCTTTAACATCGTTTAGATGACGTTATCAGATCCTAACCCTACCCCAGACCTAAACCTACCCAGTCACCTAACTGACGTTAAAGGTAGAGCGTCAGTTGTATGACGTCCCAGGATCGTCATGTAACTGACGTTAAAGGGTACCCTAAAACGGCGGATGTTGACATATGGTCAAAAGACGTCCCAAGACGTCAGTTATATGACATCTTGGGATGAGACTGTGTTAGTTGGTCCAACCCCGTAAGACCTACGTTCATATTCAGAACACGAGTTAAGATATTTTTGATGAAATCTGAGAGCTGGATCACTCCTCCATAGGCTTCTTCAGGGATTGAAACTTGTTTCTCGAAAAGTTATTAAAGGAGAACTCCGGCGCAAAATGAACCTTTGGTCAAATTACACATTGGTACCTAGTCAACCGTTATCTGAGATTTGTTTTCATGATTGCCGAATGTAAATAGTTTTATCTCTAAAAACAGTTTAGCCTATAACGCTAGTATAATGCTAGTATATAGGGCATAGAGTAATCACAAGTAAAAATCGCTTGTTATTACCACTAACAAGGCTCAAAATAGCCCCACAGTAACACGCTAGCATAATAAGGGTCACTACATTCAAACCAAAGCATTGAGAACTTTGTCAGTGTCCATACAGTTTAATAAGAAGATATTTTATACACACAGTCAACTTCGCGAATACAGGAAGAAGCCATCTTTGAAAAATAGTCTCTACCAGTCGATCTACGAACGCCGATCCAAGTGCACTGAACTGTGCAGAATCTCATATGGTCCGTTGTTTCCGGAAGAAACACAAACACGAACCATTTTCTTCTCTTCAATATGTACACGTAGCCTACTGTTCGCGCTCACCTCATCACCTTATTCACATCTCACCAGCGCACTTGGATCAGCGGTCGTAGATCGACTGGTAGAGACTATAAAATATCTTCTTATTAAACTGTTCTCAATGCTTCTGTTTGAATATAGGGACCCTTATTATGCTACCGTGTTAGTTTGGGGCTATTTTGAGCCTTGTTAGTGGTAATAACAAGCGATTTTTATTTGTCATTACTCTATGCCCTATATACTAGCGTTATACTAGCATTATAGGCTAAACTGTTTTTAGAGATAAAACTATTTACATTGGCAATCATGAAAACAAATCTCAGATAACGGTTGACTAGGTAACAATGTGTAATTAGACCAAAGTTTCATTTTGCGCCGGAGTTCTCCTTTAAAGACATCGCTAAAATAGTCTGAGTGACTACAGTGGCTCAATCCTAAGTTTATCAAACGACGAGAATACTTTTTGTCCGTAGTGAGTTGATCTGTTTTTGTACATCACAGCGCTCAGATTTAATCAAAACTATCTTAATTTGTGTACCGAAGATGAACGAAGGTCTTACGGGGTTGAAACAGCATGAGGGTGAGTAAATACTGACAGAATTTTCATTTTTGGGTGAACGATCCCTTTAAAATGAAATCCACATTATCACATGCTTATGCATTTTAACTGGAAATTTCTGCTGATATTGCAGGATAATTATGGTTAATCCACAGACTGCTCTTACCAAACAAAATATTTTTAGGCTTCAGGTTTCTGTGCAAAATTCCATATGAATGTAGTTCCTGAAGTCCTTGCAGTAACTCCTGGCAGATCTCTAGTCTTCGATTCTCTTTCAGGCCTTTTCTTTCAGGAAAATCCTTGTTTTCAATCAGCTCCATCAAATTATATTCACAAAGAGGTGAGACAAAATAGGCAAAGTAAGTGTCTTCCAACACTGAAATGTGTTGCAGAAGGTGCTTTGCTTGTACATTTTTTGTACTCAGGAAATGAGCCATTTCCATTTCAGGTTTGGAAACATGTTTGGCAACTCGTTTCACTGCAACTTTACAGTTGTTGAAGACTCCTGGGAAAATCTCAGCAGCATTGCATCCATTTGCAATCTTCATTTCTGTGTTGATAACAAGGTCATCAATTTTCATCACACCAGGCTTTAAATCAAGGTTTACAAATGAATTCTTCCATCGTGATTCCTGTAAAATGCATAAAAGCATTTAGAAAATGCATATTTAAATGTAAAAAATGTTGTACAGTGTATATACACTCAGCTAAAGGAACAAACCTCTCTATATATATTTACCATATTTTCCTTGATCTCTCTGAATGTGGAAGTACTGGTTTTCTGAAACAAATATTTAGGGTATTGAGGCATTATTTTAATCATGGTGATACAGATTTCAGTTTACATCAGATAATTAATTTAGTTAACATGAACCTATAACGAACTGCACTGTTACAGCATTTATTAATCTTAGGTCATGTTAATTTAAGCATTTAGTAATGCATAATTAAAATCAAAAGTTTTATTTGTTAACATTAGTTAATGCATTGCAAATTTACAAAATTTGCCACAAATATGCTAAAAATAAGATATAGAAATAGAAGTTGAAATACCCGTCTCCATGGGCAGTTAGGATCTCCGAAGTCATAGACAATTTCTTCTCCTGCGTTGATTTTTGTTAACGCAAATACACACAGATGTGGCATTTTCTTTTCATCCATTATCTGTTGGTCACAAAAGTACACAAACACATCTGAAAACAACAACATCATTTGAATAGTCCCCCAGTTTGTAATGTCAAATAATGCTACTTTCAAGATAAGGCTGTGTAAAAGGAGTAATTAAAACAAAGAATAAGACAAAGAATACAAAAACATTAAAAACAGACTTACTATTTTAATTTTGCTGTTTGGCTTGACGTGATCATTATTTATGAATCTTCCGAGTCTTTCTGTATCTTTACTGCCATCAACACTGTATGGTGACATTTAAAAACACTGTATATAAACATACCATAATATCATAATACTTCATTAGAACATTCATTCATTTAATCTTACCAGCAAGATTGTCCCTGAAAGGAGTAGAAATATAAAAAAAATGCATCTTCAGCTGAGTAGTCTTTGAACAGGGCCTCTCCTTCAGATTCAGACATGTGTCTTCCAACATACTCCAGCAGGAATTCTCCAGGCTCAATATGTTTTGTGGTGATTACTCCAAAACCTAATAAATAGAGTATAAATATGAGTAAATTAGGTATGATAAAAGATTCATAAAGTTGTTTTAAATGGTAGCCTTGCTTGGAAAACAACTACGATATCTACATCTTTATGAAAGTGCAAAACTACAAAACTTATATATGTATCATGACACTAAATATTCATCATTTCCATTGTTAAACAGGCTTCTTGAAGTCTAACTACAGTTACATACAAATAATATCAAGACCACTCACACATCTACATGTTAGAGTTTAATTTAGAGACATCTGCAGGAAAGTTTAGCATAAATATGGTCAGGAAAACAGATATAAATCCACCTTTAACTGATTCAAGATGAAGCCATCATGTTTTTTTTTTTCTCTTGTGTGTTCTAGCAACACATTTTAAACGCAAACATTAGGCATTATTTAGAGACCAAACTTAGTTTAATTAAGTTTTGCAAAGTCATACTGATGGCAGAGTTGTATGTCGTGACTTACCTTTCTCTTCAGATATGATTTTTTTCTCAAATGTGTCTTTATCTTTCCCAGAAGCAATGAAGTACAAGGCGTCCTTTTCAGGAGAAACTCTTTGGGGTCTCATTTTCCTGTGAAATATTTAAGAATATTTAATGTAGGAAATACTGCATATGCTAAGTAAAAATAAGTAAATAAATAATATATATATATATATATATATATATATATATATATATATATATATATATATATATAAATAAAATCTTTAGAATTGCATAGACAATAAATTATTGAAAAGATGACAATGTGGGTGAAAATTTACTTTTTTTATATACTTTTTATATCAATTATTTCAAAAGAATCATATTAAAAAAACAGAAGCAATGAAGTACAAGGCTCCCTTTTCAGGAGAAACTGTTTGGGTTCTCATTTTCCAATGAAAAATTTAAGAATATTTTATATAGGATATACTGCATATGCTAAGTAAAAAAAAAAAAAATTAAAAAATAAATAATATATATATATACAATCTTTAGAATTGCATAGACAATAAATTATTGAAAACATGAAAATGTGGGTGAAAATTTACTACTTTTTTTCTATACGTTTTATATCAAGTATTTCAAAAGAATCATCTTAAAAAAACAGACTATCAATAATACCAATCTGAATGCACATTACATTAAAAGAGGATACAAAAACATTTTATAACGTTGGCATTTACAAATCATCATAAAATGAAGTTTGAATATGCAACTTACCTTTTACTTCGGAAAGAAAACAAATGAGATGAGAAACGGCTCAGTGCGCTTTTTCTTAGGATCTTGTAGGTAGATAAGTCTTTAAACTATAACAGAAAGATAATTCTCCAATGTAGGACACAATCTTGTAGAAGTCTTCTTAAGCTGTGCTCTTCCAAATGGCAAACAATGAAGTGTAAATTCATGCCCAGAATAGAGAGATATGCATTCTGCTATCTGAGCAGTGATTGGGCCATCAGATAAACCATGATTTGCCACCATTACTATTGGTTCTGTTATGCAAATGTATGCATCTGTGATTGAAACCAAATAGCTAGTTCAAAATAAGGGTGGAATCCATTGGTAAATTGGTTTTAAATCCAGTTGTAAACATCAAAAAGTCCTTTTCATAATTAGTACTTTATACATCACAATTACTCACATTTTTGTATGCATTTTAAATAGAGCACAGAACCCAAACCTACATCAATGGCAGATAAAACATGATAAAGTTAATAAAGAAAAGTTCAAAAATAATATCAAACTATGGGATGGTGCAGCATTTAAAGAAGGTAGGCAAGATCAAATTAATTTACTATTTAAAAGATAGGAAAAAGTAATTTACCACGATGTAAAAAATATATAAAAATCTGCACAATGATGTTATAGGGACATAGCAAATTACCATGGGCAAATTAACATTTATGTTGGTTTAACTTTATACCATCTGAAAAGAAATATCATAGCAGTACCTCAATTGTTTTAAGTAGATAGGACGACTTGTTTAAAGCATGTGTATTTTTAGGTCTAAGGTAAAACTTTCACAGTCTGGTCTTTGAAGCCGTTCTCCATAGAGATGCAAATGTCCTGCAGGTAGGGGTGGGGGTTGCGACTCAGTCCACCCTGAAAACACAGCAGTGAGAAAGATCTGATCACAGCCATTTGGATATGTTTCAATCAGCTCTGTAATTTAGCACTATACAGTCAAGTCACACCACATGTATTTATACGTTTATTAGGGCTGGGTAATAAATATCGATTTCTTGATATTAATCGATTCTCATTTTTACAAACCGATATCGATTCTTAAATCTCAAGAATCGATTAGTCATCCTGTTTCATTTGTAGAATGAGACATCGCGGATGTGCGCATCCAACAAATCGCAATAATCTTTGTCCTTTGTTACTATTGATATGAAACAAAGTCTCAATTTTCAAATTACGTCCATTTTCTTTAGAAATTCAAAAACATAAATTGCGTTTTGGCGCTGTGGCGTGAGATCGCTCTGGCGCAGCTCCAGAGAAGCAGCGCTGATCTCTCTTCCGGGTTAATAATACCAGTCACAGCGCCAAATAAACATGAATGAGCATCTGAAAGTGTGTTAAAAGATAGAGTACAACTTATCGAAATCCCTATCATGTCACATTGATTCGCTCAATCTGCGTTTCAACCGTGGAAGGACGTCAATTAAACAGCTTGTAATCAATGTCATGTATCGTCATATTTACCTCAGAAAACTCCACATAAACTCGTTAGTGTTCTTCAATATTTAATGCATATTTGAATAAATCTGGTAAGTTTTTATGACAGCCATTTAAATGTTTATATTTCATATAATCTTCTTATTATAAAAATAAATAAAAGTGTAATTTAAGTGTTTGTATAGCTACAAAACAGTTAATTATTACCTTCATATTAGGCTAATAAAGCCTAGGCTACAACTAGACTATATACTTATAGACCATAGTTTACAGCATTTAAGAGATTTGATTCCCTTGAGAAAAATTGCCATTTATTGTAACTGATAACCAAAACAATCGATATTGAATCGAATCGTAATCGAAATCGAAAGCTTGTGAATCGAAATCGAATCGAATTGTGAAATTTGTCTCAATACCCAGCCCTAACGTTTATACATCAGTGTATATACATTTAAACACATTAACATTTTCCAAGACAGCCCTTGTTTTAGCAGGTGGTGGGGAATAAATGACATATAATGAGGGGGAAAGCAGGGCACAACGTAACACTTTTTGACTTTGTTCATTTGTGTAAATCTACTTAGGGTTTAGAGAATTTTTTTCCCCCCACATTAATTTCCCACATGTCAGATCATAGATTCACTGCAAACGCATCAAATGTGAAAGCACTATTATAGCACCCGTTCCTGCACTGCAAACGGGGTATGTATGAAACGGGCATTAGATGATAGATCCACCTGCAGTTCTTAGAAACTTAGATGTGTTTAAGAACTCTTTTTTTTTTTTTTTGTACAACAGCAGCACTTATCTTGTTTGTTTATAGCGTATCCGGATTAACAGTCGTAAACCGGAAACTGATATGCCGACTTCTGACAATAGCGGAAGTTGGAAACTACGCTTGTGCACATAGCTATCAACTGTTAAACAACAGATTGGAGATTAAAATAATATCAAATTTATCTCATTTTAAATAAACACAAAAAATAGAGATGAAAAATTAACTTAAATGTACTTTTGCTATGGATGTTCAGTGATATCTTACAAAGATTTCTGAATTTTGGCGCAATTTTTTCTCTGTATATTGTTGAAATGGCAACTAGTAAATACACCAAGTTTCGTCATGCTAGCATGTGTGCAAGTATTTAAAACAAGTGTGTTACAACTAGCCCTGCGTTACGTTGTGCCCCGCGCTCCCCTATGTCATATAACTAAGTCTTGCTGACTAAACATAACCTACCTATTTTTAGTAAGCCGCAGTGTTGGGAAAATTCACTTTCTGCATGAACTGGTTCAAAGTTCAGTTCACACTTTTTAAAATGAACTAGTTCTTTTTTTTACCATAAGTTGCAAGCTTCTTTTTTTAAATATTGGCACATCCCATATACAACCACGGACAACAATTGTTTTATCGATGACCAAAGTTTGCGCAGAAATGTAAGATTTTTCCCATCCTCACCGACCTCGTCATAAAACCTGTTTTAATGATCATACGACGCCTCCCAGATAGCAAACTGACATTGAATCAACGTGGAAATATGACATCGAAACAACGTTGATCTGACATTGTTTTGCTCATCGAATTAACGTTGAACCAACATCAGACGCGTCATTCTTTCAAAACTAACGGAAAATCAACGTGTTGTTTCAACGTTATGAAAGCAAACCAATTTTCGATTTTCATTTAGCTTTGAAGAATGCCGCGTCTGACGTTGGTTCAACGTTAATTCGATGAGCAAAATCATTGTTGTTTCAATGTCATGAAAGACGTCGTTTCCACGTTGATTCAATGTCAGTTTGCTGTCTGGGCTCCTTGCTCGCTGCTTTTCGACAGCGGCTGCAGTGCGACACTTGTGGCTGGTGTTGCCAGATTAGGTGTTTTTTAGCTATTAAGGCCTGTTTACGGTGAGTTTTAGCCGTGTTTTCACCTGGAAGGCTCTATAGAAATCTGGCACCCTATTGTACGAAGTTAAACTGAGAGAGCGTGCGTTCACAGACACCAGAATGAACGCGTTCACAGTAACGTTCATCAGGCAGTATTACTCTACGTTCAGTTCACGTTCGCCCAAAATATGAACGTGTTCAGGCACAACACCGACACTTGAGCTTAATTTTAATTACTCAGACTGTTAGTATTTTACAGATATGGTATTATCATATTATTAAGATATCCACAGAACTAAACATTTAAAAAGTAAAAGTTGTGGTTTTTGACAGATGAACTTGAACACAAGTATTTTACTTATTAAAATCGTATTTACTTTATAATTAATTTAAAGATTATATACTGGTAGTTGATGGTAAATCGTTAAAAAGATTAAATTAAGGTGAAGTAAATGAGTGACAGCCCTTTTCACGTCCATAAGTTCTGGGCAAAATGTTTTTCCACCTCCTGCAAAAAGTAGAGCAGACAATAAAATAAGTGCCGAAGCAAAAACAGATGATACACTTGTTACAACTGAACAGGTCATTTACAATGATTTGTATAGACCGCTTAGATGAATAGTTTATTTACAACAACAATATGTTATTTTGTCTTAATTTTGCCTCTGATTGTTTCACTGCTGGAATATCTGATAGGTGAATTGAAGCATTCAATGTAGACTATTAACACCTGGTCTAGCAAGATAAAAACAGGCTGGAAGATACTAAACTGCAATCACCTGTGATTATCATATGTGAAGGGGAATTTACCTAGCTTGATTGTAAATCGTTAACCACACATTCCAAAAGAATAGTTTTAAGCAGTACGTCAATGAAAGGATATTGCTGTTTTTGTTACTAAGACAACTCAATTCACACTAGTGAATAGGAGCTACTTCATGGATACTTCACATTTGGGTCATGACTCATGATCACCCATCTCAGTGTTTATTCTGCGATAAAAGACGGCTGGATGTACATCCCTTACTTCATTTCCTATCTAACCAACCAACAAATGAATTAAAACAACAACAACAACAGCAACAAAAAATATATGAAACTATATATTGTGTTTTATCTGTGTTCATGTTAGTAAAAAATTAAGTTGTTGGTTCATTTTAATTAATTCAGTTAAAAAGTAATGTTAATAAATGGAAACTTAATAAAGTGCTACCCATTTACAATGAGGTTCCATTTTTTAAGATGAGCTACCATAAACTATAAATAAATGGTTGTGTTTTTATGAGCTCATATGAATAAGATAAATACACTGTTAATTAATGTATTATATAATAGCATTGGTTACTTCAGATTACTTAATGCATTAAATAATATAAATGAATAGAACCTTACTGAAAATTGAATCCAATGTGATGATTCATCTAAATAACCGATATTTAGAAAGTACTGCACCATGTATTGTTTATTTGGAGTTCTGCATACTTAATCTAGTTCACCGTTTACTCACCAATACATTGTTAGAACCATATGATTTTCTATCTTTTGACTCATTTATTTTTTAAAACCTCTCAGCAACAAAAAACTAGTGATTGAATGTGTGTGTATGTAAATATTCACTGATTCAAATAAGGTCCTATACACTTGGTGTTAACTTGGTGTTCTAATGTCGCCATGTCGCCCCTCCATCTTGATTAGCCAAAGAGTGACATATCCGTTAATTCAAGCTTCGCCTTTCGCGTTTACGTTTGAGTTAACACTCATGGACGATGTCGAGCTGGAAGCCATGTTTATCTTGGACTACATTGGCCACCGTAGGAGTTAAAACGAAATCGGAAATGAGAGGAACAGAAACTAATATTCACTCGATGTTCATATACCTTTTCACCGCTAGATGGGGGTAAAAATCACACAGTGTAGCTTTAAACTGTATATGGTGTATGTTTATCCATGGATATTGTGATCTCTAATGCCTGTGTGAACATTATATATATATATATATATATATATATATATATATATATATATATACACACACATACACACACACTATAAATGTATATATTATATATATATATATAACTATAAATGTAACTTCAAATATGCTTTTTTTAAAAAAAAAATGAGACCTGCGACTCTGTAATGTTCCTTAAAGGTGCCATATGGAATAATTGAGGTAAAAATATCCGAAAAATGAGCTACACGCATCAAAAGAATGACAAGAAATAAGTGCAATGATGTCATTAAAAGTGTGTCGTAATACCAGTTTCGGCCATGGGAGGCGGTATGCGGGCGGGCAACGTTACCACCATCCAAACTGCTGTACACGAGTGAGTCGCGCTCGCGCCGGCTTGTGTGTGTACTTGAACCTGATGTCAGTCGTGTGGAAATTACAGCCCACTACTACATTTCAGTTCAGGGAAGAGTTCAAAAAATTATTTGGTCGACATTATGCATGAGGAATACATTTTGGTAAGTTGTAGCATACTGCATCTTTCAACAGAGTTCATGTTCTTTTTCCATTAGCTAATAGAGACGATCGGTTCACGTGCGCTAGGGATCTGTGGTGTAACATGTACAAGCGCCAAAACGGTATTTATTGTTTGAATTGCGTAATAAAATTGACAGAATCTGAGAGCTTAACTAACCTGCTTGCTAAGTGTCAATTGCGTGTCTCACGGTGAATTCGTTAAGAGTTGGCAGCTCTGAATGGCGCTAGCTTGATCAACATCAGCGAATACTGTCTGTCAAATTAATTCAAACTAACAATAAAGGTGTAATATGAACAAAACGAATACCATAAACTTCAAATAATTGCCCAAGCTTTTATTTTCCCATGTCGTCGAAATGTACCAGCTTGTTTTCGAGACAGGCGTCTATGAGGCGATCTTCATCATTTAGTGTTGAGATGTTGTTCATTGAGTCTCTAATCTCTAAAAATCTCCAAATGCTCCACGTGAAACTGCGGTCTTCCAAATTTTTACTATCATGTCAAATGATTTGAATAACATGCGCAACTCATTTTCTGGAGGTATACTGCCCCCATCTGTTTTGGAATATGGAGTAGGATTTGATTTATTATGTCAGATGGCACCTTTAAACGTGCTCTAAGCAATGTCGGGTGATGTGACTTCTTGTTGACGTTTAAAGTATTTTCAAACAAAACAGAGGTTAGATAGACCCTCCCTCCTCCTCATCCGCGCAATGAACCCCCAAACCCCACCCCCAGGGCCTTCTTGTCAGTTATTGGCTGGAACAGTTTGTTACGATTCGTGGAGCGGGTTGCCGCAGTTTGTTTTTGTTGCCATTTGTGGAGCCTAGGTTGTCTGCATAGACCGTGTTTTTTTTAGAAAGATACATATTTTATTTTATCCCCAGGCAATGGACAAATGTCTGCTCAGGTCTTTTTACTATTGCAAATTAAGGCTGCAACTAACGATTATTTTGATAATCGATTAATCAGACGATTATTAACACAGACATGTTGTTCAGTGTGAAGATATAAACTAAAAACATCTCAAATATAATTCATTTAATTAAATTTAATTATTGAATTATAAGGATAAATTGATCAAATAAATATAGAAAGACTGAAAACAACCGCTTGAACGTAGAGCCGTAGTAGATCGCGTTCGAAAAACAATTAAAACTTGAGACAAATGCTATAAAAAGAGAATGGAATAGAGGTAACTTGTCTTGCGCATCAAGATAACAGGCTTGATTAAAAGGACAGGAAAAATGATGCATCAGTGCACAAGCATTCGCTGAAAATCACCGAGTACTAAACAAACTAAACAATACGTTACTGCTGCTGTTATTAACTGCCTTTATATTTACTGCTTCACATTGTAAACACCGTTTTAATTTAACCTATTTCTGCGGTGGCACTATTTTAATCCATCACTTATGTTGCGAGCCCCAAGGGCCTCAAGTGCATCCAAGATGTGGGTCTCTTTATTTCCACTCTTTTTTCTCCAGTAAAATATATTCCACAAACAGTCCTACTTGTACCCTTACTAGTGATATAACACCAATTATAAAACGGTTAGTTCCAATCCTTGATTCTGTTTGGTCAATAGCTGTGCTTTATTCATGATAAAACACGGCTATGACCGTTTCACCCAACGGTTCTATGCATCACTGCACAACACTGCAGTTCCTTTGTGTTCACACTGGAGCATTGTTGCTGTTCACGGTCAGGGACTATTTTTTCTTTAGCATAAGGAATGCTTTTATTGACTTTACTTCATGAAAGTTGCAAATACATTTCTTTACTTAAATATTTGTATTTGTGGTAACCTTTTTTTAAAAAAAAATAAGGTACTCGAGGCAAGTGCTGTATCGTGAACAAGTAATGGCTGAAAGGGTTACTCCACTTCTCGAGACTAACAACAACGCCCTTCAGCCGTTGCTCATTCACGATACAGCACAGCCTCTCGTACCTTATTACTTACTAATAGAAAAGAACATTTGTTCACAAGACCAATGCACTAATAATCCACAAGAAACTGATCAACGTAAGCCGTAAATGACTTTCATAAAACAAGAACTGCAGGCACTGACATCACTGCCATTACATGATAGGCTGAGGTGCCTCAGGTGACCCAAGTTAGCCTTTACGTTTTCTCCAAAGTTAAAGTCATCTCCCTATTATAAGACAATATATATATTAAAGACAATATATATATAAAATAAGACATTAAAACCACAACACACACATACACTAGTATTTATCCTTTAACTAAAGAGAACGAATCATTTTGTTATAAATAAATTGTTGATCAATAGTTAAATCACTTGTTTTATGAATATATGAATGTTTCTACTGTTTCCATCTCAACACTTTTTGTACCGTAAATATTCATACATGTGGACCTACAGTATTTCGATTAATATTCCACTGTTGACCCAGCAGTATTTACATGGCCTCATCCTGATAAAGTGCAACAGTGACTACAGTACCCAGGGCTATATAAAAATAAACGTTGCCCATTTTACATTCATTATTGTAAAATTCGAATTCAAATTAGGCCATATTAGTCTAGTGACACCCAACCCCTCCCCATCAATTCGAAATCTGAACTCCAAAACAGTAAGAAAACAAAAATAACTTCAGAACATTTGTCTCTCAGGGACTTAGGTACATCAGCAGCTGACGTCATCTATAGCCCCCCGACAGCTGCAACTCAATGACAGTTATCAAGACAAAAGTACCAGATGATACTATAACATAAAATACTACAGCCTTAATAGTTTCAATACAACATTGTTGTTTTGCAAATGTTCTCAGTGGTTATTATCCAGTTATAGACCACATTCCAATGACATTCCAAACTTACACTAACAGCTCGAGCTGTCTCAGGTCTATCACCTTTCTAATTATAACCCCATCCTCTGGCCCTCCAAGAATGGAAGTTTGGTCCGATCCTAAACTTAGCCCCTGTGGCTGCTCAGATCTGGTTGTGTCACACTGACCCTCAGTGCTACAAAGCTTACATGTGTTTCTCTCTGTGGATACTACACACTGTACAGGTAAGCTACAAAAACTTTATTAGCGGAAGCATTTAATAACCTGCATTAAGTGTCATTTAAAGTACCTCCAAACTTCTCTTGGTGGATCGACACTATTGTTGCTGAAATATCAACTGTTGTTAATGATGGCATTTGTGACTTTACTTAACAAAAATGACATGGGCATAGTTTGTTTTTGAAGTAGTTATAGAAGCAGTGACTTATATTGGAATAAATAAATATGTTTAATTTGGAGATTTCTGTTCATGGGTGCCATTTGGTAGACTGTGACTATAACGCAAACAGATGCTAAATATAATGGACACCAGAGCTATTTATTTAACGGACAGCAGATCGTTTTTAGAGGGCAATATCTCAGTTAATATTTGGTTTTGAGTCAAATGTTCAATTACACAAATTTTGTTTTCTCTAGCAATGATTTCCAACATCTATTCATACATTAGGATATGTTTTGTCAGTTCAATGCACCAAATGAAAACCCATCCTGTCTATCATAACTTTAATCAACAAAATCTTTTTATTAACAAATTAACAGCAAAATCCTATTGACAGACAAGACTTAACGGTGAAATGAAGATAGATTAAACTAAAAGGTAGATTTTAATTTAACTGTTTTCAGAAAAAAAAGATCAGATCAGGGCAAATTACCATTTGTTTTAAATATTTTTGGCAAACAATATTTATTTATAATATGCATCTTTGTACAACATAATTGTTATTAGGCTATAATATTTAATTTAATGGGAGTTTTCCATCCACATCAAAACAAAATAGTACAAATTGTGTGTTACTTAAAACCAATCCCCCACAAATGAAAATATTTTGTCTTTGTTTTTGAGATATTTACAACAGCATAGGCTTGTACTGAACTATCTATAAACATTAGTGCATGTTCATTAAAGGCATAGTTCACTTTGAAATTAATTTTTGATATGTTTTAGCTTACCTCAAGGGCATCCAAGATGTACAGTAGGTGTCTTTGTTTCCGCAGTATTTTTAATTTTGATATTTTTAGGTCAAACCGTTGTTGTGTCAGTCATATAAATGCAGGTCTATGGTCACCACCTCAAAGAGCATGCACAGAGAAGTCCAAATTAAACATGATTTAATGACTCGTGAATGGCCTAAGACACGAAACGAGCGGTTTGTGTGAGAAAACGAACAGTATTTATAGCGTTTTTACCTCTTATAACCACAGCCACGTCCAAGTGACCAGAAGGCACGGGCGCTTCGGTCCGCGAAGTCGCACGGTTGCGAAAAAAAAAATAAAAAAATAAAAATCAACGTCGTCTGTTGATGTATCAAAAGCGTCTTCCATTGCAATTTCCTGTATATCTAAATATGTTTAGATCTTCACAGTGAAAGGTAAAACTTCTGAAATCTCTGTGTAAACAATGAGTGACGTACACATGCAAGAGATCACTTCCGGGGCTTTCCGAATTTTCGCAGACAGAAGCGCCCTCGGCCTCAGAGTTCTTGGACGTGACTGTGATTACAAGAGGTAAAAACTACATATTGTTCATTTTCTCACCCAAACCGCTCGTTTCGTGTCTTAGGCCATCAATGTGTACTTACATTTACGGGTCATTAAATCATGTTTAATTTGGACTTCTCTGTGCATGCTCTTTGAGGTGGTGACCATAGACCTCCATTATATGACTGACAGACAAGTACGGTTTGACCAAAAAATATCAAAATTGAAAATACTGTGGAAACAAAGTCACCAACATCTTGGATGCCCTTGAGGTAAGCTAAAACATTTCAAAAATGTATTTCAAAGTGAACTATCCCTTTAAGTATAAAGGGTAGACTGAGTACAGACAGATGTAAAACTATCATTGACAGTAATTTGCATAATCTGTGCAGACATTTACATTAGCGCATAGTCCACAATACTGTACCTCCAAATTTTAATGGCGACAAATTTAATTGCGACGTTAGGTTTTACATTGACTTCCTCCTCTTTTATTGTGAATAGATTGACATTCTTTTCTGATAATCAACTGTTTCTGTTTTCTAAATTTTTCATTCACCAAATTATTATTATTTTTTTTTTATCTTTTGGGACATGCAAATGTGATGGGAAGCTAAGAAAATCAGGCAAATTTCCAGTGTGATCCGCTGTAACCCTGTTATAATATGTGCTCCCATTATGAGTGCTCTGGTGGGACAAAGGCTGCATCCAAAACCTGGCAGCTGCCAGGAACTGACTTGTTGCCCCCCTCCCCTGTCAGGCAATGACTTAACAGACAGTGTTTATGCATGAAGATACCTCACAAAACTGATTTCAGACGAATTTCTGAGGCAGCATAACGATTTAATGATTGATAACAAAACAGAGAACTTTGGTGACAACAAATTCATTATTTAAATAACTACAATACTAACTAGAAATGTCATCAAAAGTGGTAAAAGTTGGTCAAAATGTTCACTTTACACACAAACTGATCACCAACCTCAAATTTCAGAAGCCATCTTTATTTTTATAGCTCAACAGTCAGAGAATTGAACGCACAGGATTGTGGGATATTCAAAAATCGATCAGACGACGAGATCTCAGGAGACATCCTACTGCCGTATCCTGCCTGCGGGGGCAGTGTTTTTGAGTTTTCGGATACAGCCAATGTGTATCTGCCCTCAGTGTGAAAAAGATTTAGAGCATAAATTACATGCGCACACACACACACACATTTGTCTTCAGAACACAAATAAAGATATTTTTGATTACATTTGAGAGGTGGATCACTGCTACATAGGCTGCCTAAGGGATTGAAACTTGACGGCCCAGAAAGTCATTGAAGAAAATGTCTCACATGCGTGAGAATTGCGTTCTTATTCTACTACTTCTTGTTCAGTTCTCGCGCATGCGTCGTGGAAATCTCTTGAACTCTTGTCTCAGGCGCGGAAGGAAGAAAAGGAATAATTGAATAAAGTATTTATTTATTCTTGTCGCTTGATAAACTTATAGTTGAGCCACTGTATTCAGTTTCAATCCCTTAGGCAGCCTATGTTGCAGTGATCCACCTCTCAAATTTAATCAAAAATATCTTCATCTGTGTTCCAAAGATGAATGAAGATCTTACAGGGTTGGTACAGCATGGGGGTGAGTAATAATAAATATATTATATAATAATGTTCACTGTTATGTCTCATATTATGTATGTAAAATCATTATTATGCATTAGCAGATATGTGGATGATTAGTTGCTTTGCTGCTCAGTAATGTGTAACAGTTAATCCTGTTTCGTTCGGAACTAAAGCAAAAACAGACAATTAAAGGGATACTTCACCTCTGGAAAGATGAATGTGTATTTAAAATGGGCCATTTATGTAGAAGAAATGAGAATTTATTTTTGAATTTGGAGCTTTCTAGACTGAGAAAAGCCAGAAAATGTATTTTTGGCTCATGTGGATGAAAGACAACAACTCCCAGAATGCACTTGCTTCACTGCCCTAGGAGGCCACGCCTACCGGTAACAGAGCGCAGTAGTTAAACAACAAGTCTAGGCTACTAGTGAGTCTCCGTGATGAGTCTGCCCAAAAAATGTGTTTCGGGATTCGGCTTTTGCGTTTTTACAGTCGCCATTCATCATGCTTACTGTGGCGAGCAGGACGAGTGAGGGCCGCGGGAGAACGGAGCGAGGCCGGTGGCGTGATTACGATGAACGACACCTGTGAGACGCACCGGTCTCGTACCTCTCACACGGGAGCGAGAATTTTCTTAGCAATGTTAAAACACTCATCAACCGATCCCTTGTTTAGCGTTCATGCAAACACTACATTTAGATTCACCAATCAGAATGAATTCAGTTATATTGAAACAAAAGGTGTGCATGAAAAACAATGAATGGCGACTGCAGAAAGCAAAAGCTGAATCCCGGACATCGACGGCCGGACATGTCCGGGAAAAAGAGGATGGTAACCCTTACAACTCAGCTTTCTCCACAGAACAAGAGCCTGCTAGCTTAGCTTCCAAAAAAAGATGGCCGACACAATGTGTTCATTCTACACTATCTCACGACCAATTCGTACGAATTTGACGCATGATTAAAAAGTGTCTAATTCGTACGACCTCACTCGTACGAATTTGTACGTTTTGTATAAACCCACGTGATGGTTAGGTTTAGGGGCGGGGTAAGGGGTAGGTCATTCGTACGAATTCATACGAATTGGCCAATTCGTAAAATGTAAGATTTAGCAAAATCGTACTAATTCGTACGAGTGAGGTCGTACGAATTAGACACTTTAATCATGATTTGGTTGTGAGATCGGGTTGGTTAATTCTGTGAGTGAGATCCACCCTCTATGGGCGGGTGAGACAGCCCCTACTACTGACTGTAGTCTTTAGCCTCTGGACGCAAAATCCTCCAATGACGCAAAATGGCGATTTTTGATCAAAAAACACATAAATCTCTCGTCTCAGGGGGATACGAGGGTGGAAAGCATGGTCATTTGAAAATACTACAGGTTTCCTACTTATACAAAGCTTAATGCTAAATCCTGAAGCATCCCTTTAAATATTGTGTCTAAAAAGAAAGGCAATCTATATTAAAGGACAACTCCGGCACAAAATGAACCTTTGGTCTAATTACACATTGTTACCTATTCAACCGTTATCTGAGATTTTTTTTCATGATTGCCGAATCTAAATAGTTTTATCTATAAAAACAGTTTAGCCTATAATGCTAGTATAACGCTAGTCTATAGGGCATAGAGTAATGACAAATAAAAATCGCTTTTTATTACCACTAACAAGGCTCAAAATAGCCCCACAGTAACACGGTAGCACAATAAGGATCCCTACATGCAAAACGAAGCATTGAGAACTTTGTCAGTGTCCATACCGTTTAATAAGAAGATATTTTATACACACAGTCAACTTCGCGAATACAGGAAGAAGCCATCTTTAAAATATAGTCTCTACCAGTCGATCTACGAACGCTGATCCAAGTGCGCTGAACTGTGCAGAATCTTATATGGTCTATTGTTTCCGGAAGAAACACAAACACGAACCATTTTCTTCTCTTTAATATGTACATGTTGCCTACTGTTCGCGCTCACATTATCACTTTATTTACATCTCACCAGCGCACTTGGATCGGCGTTCGTAGATCGACTGGTAGAGACTATTTTTCAAAGATGGCTTCTTACTGTATTCGCAAAGTTGACCGTGTGTATAAAATATCTTCTTATTAAACGGTATGGACACTGACAAAGTTCTCAATGCTTCGGTTTGAATGTAGGGATCCTTATTGTGCTACCGTGTTACTGTGGGGCTATTTTGAGCCTTGTTAGTGGTAATAACAAGCGGTTTTTATTTGTCATTACTCTATGCCCTATAGACTAGCGTTATACTAGCATTATAGGCTAAACTGTTTTTATAGATACAACTATTTGCATTCGGCAATCATGAAAAAAAATCTCAGATAACTGTTGACTAGGTAACAATGTGTAATTAGACCAAAGGTTCATTTTGTGCCGGAGTTGTCCTTTAACTTTGTTTATGAATGCTCTCAAGCTTATGCATATCAGCAAGCCTATTAAGTGTGGGCTTGGAAACAAAAGGATGATTTTGAGTGTGCTTTGCGTTAAATGTAACAACTATTTTGATCTTTTTTATGTTGTAGAGCTTGAGAGTAATTTGAATTCTTTCTTTCCTGTTGTCGAATGGAGACTTGAGCAGTTTGCTGAAGAATGCTTTTGGATAAGTCCACCAGCATGAGTTTGATGGACATCTCTAAGATCTTTTCTCTTCTTCAACCCAAAGAGGATGAGGAAGAAGACACAAACTGTTGCCAGGAACTGAATCAAGCCGTCTTGAAAGATGACGACAAACTCCTTACTGATCTCCTGTCTCAGGATAAGTACAGGAAATGCATCAACCATCGCAGTGGCTGGGGCATCCCGGTTACTCCACTGCGCACTGCTGCGGCTCAGGGTCACCTGCGCTGTCTCGAGGTCCTCCTGGCTCACGGGGCAGAGGTGGACGGCCTAGATGTCAAAGCTCAGACTCCACTTTTCACGGCCGTCGCTGCCAAACACCTAGACTGTGCTGTTGCTTTATTAGAAGCTGGTGCAAACCCTAACGGTAGCCTGCATAACAACTGCTCCCCGGTGCTCACCGCGGCCCGAGAGGGTGACGTGGACATCCTGAGGGAGCTTCTGCGACACGGAGCTGACGTAGACGTCAAGCCCAAAATGCCCGACTGGGCCTCGAACGCCACGACATGCCGAGGACCACTCTACATTTCAGCTGTTTATGGCCATATGGATTGCTTCAAACTGTTACTGCAGCACGGAGCGAACCCAGACTACAACTGCACTGAGGAAAAGATGCTGACCAGGATCAAACAGCCTAAAACTGTCCTGGAGATGTGTCTGAGATACGGCTGTGGGATAGAATACATTCAGCTGCTCATAGACTTTGGAGCAAATGTCTTTCTACCCACTATAATTATTGACAAAACAACCAGGCAAAATGAAGCAGTAATGCTTCTGCTGAAAGAGAGAGGTAAGTCTGTAATACATTCATCTGTGATATAGTTCACTCAAAAGTAAAATTCTGCCGTTATTTTATTCACATTCAGGCCATCCAAGATGTTGGTGAGTTCTTCAGTAGAACAGTGAATATGTTTAGCTGAAACCATGGTCCTTGGTGAATCACAAAATGTAAATCAAAATATTACCCGTGGCTCCTGATGATACATGGAGATTTTAAGAAGAGAAATGACGGTCTGTTAAGAAACTGAGCATTATTTACAACATTTTTACTTGTAATACAATAGCATGTTTACGGCAGTCTGGAGCTCGAGCTTCCTGTCGTATTATGACATATACGTGAATGTACGTATAAACGTTTCATTTGTACCGCGGACGGGTAAACGTCCATAGTGGTGAATGTGAGATAACAGCAACACCCGCAGCGCTGCCCTAAACCCCACCCCTAACACGGCTTTCTGGATAAAACGACATACAACCCAACCCATTTCAGCGGGTATTATGAATTTATTTATTTTTTTAAGTTAGAAAGATAACTCACCGGCCGTGGCTGCAATAGTGTCCCGATTGTCTCGCGAGTCGCCACTAACAGAGGGACGGTGAACCAGCACATCGTCCATCAAGTCGAACTATGGCAAGTTCCTTTTCTGAGCTGCGCTTCGTCCATTGTGCGTTTTAATCGCCTTGTACAACTTTATTTTTTCCTGAACTTGAAGCGTTGCTCGCTGAATGCTTCGCTTAGAAAATTCAGCTTCGATGAATTTTATAACTTCCTCATTTCTTCATTGATTATTTTGCACAATATAAAAAAGTGAAATGTGCATCTTGCTTCAGATTATAACGTTCCATAACACCGATAAACTCCGCCTATTACCTTGAGCACGCCTGTAGCCCAAGCTGGCCCCACTTTGGCCCAAGGTATTTGACGGACCAGAAATCCTGGCGAGTAAACCCCCGGAAGTGACAAAGGAAACGCGACTAGCCCTGGCACGCACTAGCATGGCTCAGCCCTGACCCGGTGTTCTGACATTCCATCCTACCCGTCAGATTGTCCTACCAAGGCTTACTGCGCATGCGCACATCAATAATACGTCATTTTTTGTCACGCTGAACAACACGCCCATAATATTTTACTACTTGCGCGAGATCTTCTTCATCTGAGGTAAGTTTTTCACTATTTTTGTCAATTATTACTATACAAAGATATATAGCAGTAATGAGAACTGTTTACTCTCACATTCATACAAAGCAAATTCATATTAGCATTTTTTTCATGAAAACATTAACGTAAAATCATTCTACTCGTTTATTTCATACTGGTAGGACAATCTGATGAGGCATTTTGCACTGTAAAATCATACTACTCGTTTATTTCATACTGGTAGCACAAACTGATGAGGTATTTTGCAACGTAAAATCATCCTATCGTTTATTTCATAGGACAATCTGAAGAGGTAACGTTACTTTGCACTGTAAAATCACCGTAACATGGCCTAATAAGAAAATTCGGCAAAGTTACACAGAAATATTTTATGTAACTTAGTCACAGACGCGAAGCAGAAACGCTCAGTAGGATTTTACGACGAGGTAGGATGAACCGATAGATATGGCTATAATTTTGCGCTACGGTAGGAAAATCTGACAAGGTAGGACAGATCGACAGAACACCGGCAGTAGAAACGTATCTATGTAGTAGATACGTTTCAGTAGGCAGTAGACGATACGTACTAATGTATCGTCAGGAGCCATGGCTATTCATTTTGGTTTGTCTGCATATGTTTTTTTGACTGGCAAAGTGACAGTAGCCGTTGACTTGCATTTTATGAATCACCAACTATTTCAGCTAAAAATCTTCTTTACTGTTTTAGTAAAGAAAAAAAAAAAGTCACCTATATTTTGGATGCCCTGAGGGGGAGTAAATTAACAGCAAATTTCCATTTTTGGGTGAACTCTCCCTTTAAGACCTGTTATTTCAACATCGTAAGAAATTCACTTTTAGCACTCTATGTGCACTTAAATCTGTTCTTTTCGATCAAAGTGTTTGTGATGTGTAGGTTTAGTGCACGGACTTAGTAACTTGTGGGTAGGCCAAAAGATATTACTAAATATAAATAAATAAAACATTTTGTAACTCCCAAATCAAGTATTTTAATTCATGTCATAAATAAATAACTAATAAAATAAAAATTATTTAAAAAAAAATGTATTGAAAACTAAAAAATTCTGCATGCTTGTGTATTAAAGCTGAATCTGTTTTGGTGGCTCGTATCCTATCAAGACTGTTGATTGCCAGTTGTGGTGCATAAATAGATATTTGATTTAAAGATAAGGCTTATAATTGTTAACTGTTATAACTTTGCCTTAATTATTTACATGCTTTTTTTAGATAGAATGTGTGCTTTTCAGTAATTCACACATCCCTCCCAACCCAAATATCAGTCACCCATAGTTTAGGGTGGAACAATATAGCAGTGGTTTTTAACTCCGGTCCCGGGGACCCATTTAACACACATGATTCTGACCATCAGCTCTTCAGGGATAAGCTCAATGAACTGAACTGTGGCTACATCTTCATTAGGAAGGCATAGGAATCTGATCGATTTCTGAAGGAAGCAAATATCCCACAATCCTGTGCAACACAGTTGAGCTTAATAAATAAAATAAAGATGGCATCTGAAAGTTGCAGTTGGTGGTCAGCTTATGTTTAAATATATAGTACATTTTGACTGATGTTTTCCACTTTTGAAATCATTTCTATTGAGAAATTAGTATTGTTATAAAATAAATACATATTCACTTATGTTTCATAAAAACTCTCTCTATTTTGGTGCAGACATCTCTAGTTAACTAGCAGAGCATTTATTTAGTGAAATGTGTTGCTTTTGAAACCATGTGATCAAAGTGCTCGTTGCCGCTCTATTCGTTCCGGTGAAATTACACAAACATACAACTGATAAACATAATCGGTTATAATGAGATAAAAAAAAAAAAAAACCTATACAAGTGCGGATTAGAACCCAGAACCTCTTTCACGCTTGGCAAAAGTTCTGCCACTGGACCATTAAAATGCATGCGTGTCATCGTCGGATCTATGTATTTCTTCACGTGAAAATTCTCGCCACCAACACATATTACAAACAAATTAAACACAGTGTACTATTTTAATCGATTGCTGGACATCGATATGTTATTGTACACAGGTGTAAATCTGATTCATGATTTATCATTGTATTTTCAGGTAAGATTGTAGCTGCTTAAAGCTCAAACCTGCGGTTTATTTATAAAGATAGCACCTATTTGGTGAGATCCAGTCGTCACCGGGCGCTCAGCGCTCACGGACTGGATCAGCCTTTCCTCGGCTAGTGCTTCTGGCGTTTGCCGCTGGCTCTGATGCATCTTTAGTGCTTAAACATGAGCTATAATTCGTATTGTGTATATCTAACTGGCAATCTTGTCTCATGAATCTATAATTAGTTCCCAATCAAATTGTTTTGGCTGAGAGCAAAGTTTGATAACTTTATTTATTTATTTACGCTATTTACCTTTACCGTTGTAGCCTACTAAAGTGCTGACTTTGCTTCGTATACCTTTTATACTTTTATAATGGCTATTATTGATCATTAAACCTGACATTTAACAAAAAGAGGCAGGGTTGTGTTTTAGGTCATATTTAATTGTATTACAGTGAAGATAATCAGAGTACAAGCACATATTGTCTGAACCACATGTTTGTTGTTGGGTTTTTTTAAACGAAGAGGCAGGGTCGTGTTCTGTTATAAATATACATGCAGTGAAGATAATCAATGTACTCTGCCTAAACTACATTAATGTGACTTAATACGTTTAATATATATATATATATATATATATATATATATATATATATTTAAATGAAAAGGAGGCTTCCTTCTTGCATAGGGCCCTATAATTTCCACGATCGCTGAATCACGGACGGAATCGCAGAATTGGCCAATAAACGCGGAATCTAGTGTTAACGCGGAATTTTACATATTTGGGATGAAATTCGGTTTTGATGTGAGAAAAGAACGTATGTCTGCGGAAAATGCAGAGAGATGGGGAAGCAAATCTGGGCGACACAACCCCTCGTGTCATTTCAGCTCATGACGGCATCAAAACAATATCCGCGTTTCCACTGAAAGACTAGCTCTCCACGGCTCTGCTTTCGTCGGCGAAAAAGTTTAGAAACTCGTCGCACACACGCACACACAAAGTCCCCTCCGTGCACGCCTGTCTATGAGGTGCCG